TCTTGAGTGATTTTTTTTTCTTTACTATTTTTGGACCTTGTAATGTGGCGCTCATTGTACTATAGCGTAATACAAGGTCTTCACGTCAATGGAACAATTGCAGATGGTAAATGTTATGGCACGTCAATGGAACTATTGCAGATGGTAAATGTTATGGCACGTCAATGGAACTATTGCAGATGGTAAATGTTATGGCACGTCAATGGAACTGTAGCAGATGGTAGATGTTATGGCACGTCAATGGAACTATTGCAGATGGTAGATGTTATGGCACGTCAATGGTAAGATGGTAAATGTTATGGCACGTCAATGGAACTATTGCAGATGGTAAATGTTATGGCACGTCAATGGAACTATTGCAGATGGTAATGTTATGGCATCAATGGAACTATTGCAGATGTAGATGTTTATGGCACGTCAATGGAACTATGCCAGACACGTCACTATTGCAGATGGTAATGTTAATGCACGTCAATGGAACTATTCCAGATGGTAGATGTTATGGCACGTCAATGGAACTATTGCAGATGGTAAATGTTATGGCACGTCAATGGAACTATTGCAGATGGCAGATGTAATGGTCAATGTAGGCATTTTATTTGACGTGTCCAAGCAGCAATTTCTTGGGATTTGCTATTCCTACATGGTGGAATTCTGTGTCCATGGGGTGAAATGTGGATTATCCATGACAATTATTATTCTCTTATCGTTCTAATTGCCTAAATGATAGCAATGATTTGATTTATCATTTAGAGCATGAATATCGTAGCTTGATATCTTCGTCACCTCCAGCCGTACAGTTTATCGACACAGGTGAATCTTCTTATCATTATTATCATCAACAGTGTCATTACTAGACATTCTAAATACCTATCGTTAGCATCACCTATTTCCACGTTCCAGGATCTCATCAATGCAATAATCACCACTATCATTATCGTTCTTATTCATCCTATTCCTCAGCATTATCACCCTCTCTCTCTCTCTTCTCTCTCCCCTTTGCAATAACCATCACTATCATTATCATTTCTTATTCATCTATTCCTCAGCATTATCATCCTCTCTCTTTCCTCTCTCGCAATAATCACCACTATCATTATCGTTCTTATTTCATCCTATCCTCAGCATTATCACCCTCTCTCTCTCTCCCCTTTGCAATAACCACCACTATCATTATCGTTCTTATTCATCCTATTCCTCAGCATTATCATCCTCTCTCTTCTCGCAATAATCACCACTATCATTATCGTTCTTATTCATCCTATTCCTCAGCATTATCATCCTCTCTCTTCTCTCTCTCTCTCGCAATAATCATCACTATCATTGTCGTTCTTATCCATCCTATTCCTCAGCATTATCACCCTCTCTCTTCTCTCTCTCTCTCTCTCGCAATAATCACCACTATCATTATCGTTCTTATTCATCCTATTCCTCAGCATTATCACCCTCTCTCTCTCTCCCCTTTGCAATAACCATCACTATCATTATCATTCTTATTCATCCTATTCCTCAGCATTATCACCCTCTCTCCTCTCTCTCTCTCTCTCGCAATAATCACCACTATCATTATCGTTCTTATCCATCCTATTCCTCAGCATTATCACCCTCTCTCTCTCTCTCTCTCTCTCTCTCCCCTTTGCAATAACCATCACTATCATTATCATTCTTATTCATCCTATTCCTCAGCATTACCATACTCTCTCTTTCTCTCTCTCTCGCAATAATCACCACTATTATTATCATTCTTATTCATCCTATTCCTCAGCATTATCACTCTCTCTCTCTCCCCTTTGCAATAACCACCACTATCATTATCATTCTTATTCATCCTATTCCTCAGCATTATCACCCTCTCTCTCTCTCTCTCTCCCCTTTGCCAGTTCGAGCCGTACAGCCTGATCGACACGGACGAAACCGCCGTCAACGCCGTCCGCCTCTACTGCAGCACGCTCGACCACATCCTCACGGGATACATCCAGTCTGTCGAGGGAAAGCACATGGGACTGCTCGGTAATGTCTAAGGGATATTTGTTGTTTTGGTGTTAATGGTAAGAAATAAAGTGGAAGGAAATAAGTGGGAGACAGATGAATTTGATTGAAAGATATTTGTTGTTTTTGGTGTTCACGGCAAGGAAGCAGAATAAGTGGGAGACAGAAGTAAGTAAGTGGGAGACTTTGGTTAAGAGATATTTGTTGTTTTTGGTGTTCACGGTAAGGAAGCAGAATAAGTGGGAGACAGATAAATTTGATTAAGAGATTATTGCTGTTTTGATGTTAACGGTAAGGAAATAAGTGGAGACAGATGAATTTGATTAAGAGATATTTGTTGTTTTTGGTGTTAACGGTAAGGAAGGTGAATAAGTGGGAGACAGATAACTTTGATTAAGAGATATTTGTTGTTTTTGGTGTTAATCTTAAGGAAGCAGAATAAGTGGGAGACAGATGAATTTGGTTAAGAGATATTTGTTGTTTTTGGTGTTCACGGTAAAGAAGCAGAATA